AGAGAGAGCAGGAGTTGGCTTTCCTAAGGTTCTTCGACGAAAACCAATTAACACTATTTTAGTGGTAGGGGCCTCATAGTCTTGAGTCTGTGACTACATCACTAGTAATGATATTATACTTCGAATTAAGTTTACCTTCCTCGAGGACCAAAATATATATATCCTTCCCAGAAGCTGAATGATTTTGTGCTCTAACCTTGGTCGTGTTGTCTGGGTGACTTAGTAGGAAGCCCCCTGTCCGAAATCTTCTGCAATAGTAGTTATCATACTTCCGACAGGACCGTTAAGTTGTTGCATTTCCACACGTTTTGCCGGCATTGTGGTCTGCATCGTTAGTGAATTTTACCATTATCAGCCCAAAGTAACCAAAATTTTTTGTTGTGAAGTGGTTAATTTTCTAATGAAAAACTGGATCATCCATTTGGATATTTTACCAAAACAAATGGGATTAGCATACTATAAGAAAAGCTGGGGTCCGAATAATCCTTTAGTAATTTATTGTGATATGGCTCTTGATTTCAAAGAAGCAGTTGGTTAGAAGGAAAATGAAGATGTTTAGCTTCTAATATTTGCTGCGTTATTTCTTAAATAATGATGTTCTGTTTTGACGTTGTCTGCCATAACAGAACAGAAAAGAGTTTAGCACGGATTCATCGGGTTTGAGGAACGGTTAGTCAAGGACTTCTCCGCACAATCCAACCTTGTCGTTTCTCTTTCGGTTTACAGTTAGGCCGATTCATGAATTCCTTCCAACTGACTTCATCCTCGAAATGAACAGTCATGTCACGCTAAATGCCACTAACATCCATACATAAAGTCTTATTTAAGCCTCCATTTTGAACGGTTTGTAAATTATTTAATCAAGTGGGCCAAGCCTCAATAAGTGACTTGAGGGCGCATTAATTGGTTGACAGTGTTTGGCGCTATTTAACCAGCCTGCCCAAGAGTCGCATACATCCGATCTCATCACATGACGACGCTGACGAAACTGCTTTCATGCTCATACCGGTCTGTGCTTTTCGCATGAGGCCAGACGCAAAGCTCGAGAGTTGCTGGGTCCAGAAGCGAGTTCAACTTAGTAGAGTGAAACGGAGACTGAATGAGGTTACAATTATTCATAAAGTTATTCACACTTAAAATAAAGACCAGCACGAACAGGTGAGAGCCTGTGCTCATCAAGGCGACTGCAAAACTTTCAACATGTTGGCATGCGAACTCACTTTCTACCTGGTGCCCGTCTATTTGCTTTCACATCAATCTTCGGAAATTTGTCTGAAATGGACCAACCGGTTTTTGATGAAGTTCAGTCTGTGGAGGCTTTCTCTCAACATGTGATACTCTGGAGCTCTCGACAATGCCGTCTAGCATACCTTTAAGACACTGTCGACCGTTGCCATGCAGCCTTATTTTTACATCGCTTTCTTCACTTTTTTCTTCTTTTGTGGGCTCAAGTGTATGTGTGCCAAGGTCAAGCAGGGGCGTGTCTGGTGTCCTGTCCGAGGCCTCCAAAGCGAGGCCCACTGGCGTGAGCCTCGTCTCCGGGACCCTGCATGCCTGCCTGAGGCGGGTGAAGTCGTTGGTACCGAGAGGGCCGGACGAAGTCGGGAATAGGGGGCGGCAGACGAGCAAATGCGAAGAGACGTTTGTGCTCTTTTTGAGTGGCCAAGGGCAGATGAGGGCGAGGAATGCCCGAAAGGCCGAAGGTGGCTGCTGCAATCAGCATGTGCTCCCCACATGTGGCCGTGTGGCCAGGTTGAGTGGAGGAAATACCCGACTTGGCATACACGAAATTGGGACGGGACGAAGTGTGAACGCGAGGCTGCCGGCGGGACTCAACTCGGCGAACTCAAACGTGATTAAGCTCGACTGCTCACCTCGTCTCAAGGCAAGCCTCACCGTGGCCACGAACATTAGCTCGGCTGTAGGGCTGTTGGAGTGGGTGTCATGTGAAGCTTTCAGAATGTCAATCCATGGCTTTGGCTCCTCTTCACCCTGCCGTTTGCATTTGCTCCCATCTGGCCACCCCTCCTGGTCGACATTTTCACACATTTTATTTTTATCCATTTTCTTTCTCTCTTTCTCTACCTCCCGTTGCACACAATTTCTTTATTGCTCATTTTGCTCCTCTCTTATTCGGCTACCTCCCGCTTCTTAATCGAAATGCTCCTCTGCTCGTTCACATCTTCACCTATTGCCACATTCCTGATTCCCACTTATCAAACCGGCTTACTTTCAGTTCATTTGGGTCAGAGTCAAGGTGACAGCAACATGAATGAAATGTAAATATCTTTTGGGAAGCAAGGCTCTATGATATAGAGGCGTAAGGCTTTATCATATGACTATAGGAAAATTCAACTATCATTACTTTATCGCCTTACAGAAAATAGCGTGAATATATCAAATAACTATGATACTCTGGAAGTCGCGAAATAAGTAATCCAGTCGATTATAATAGCAAATACAAATTTGCTTTCTTGAAATACCCTTCCGTCCTGTGAACTAAGGGTTATCGTGGCAATGTGGCGTAGCGGTTACTGTCTCGAGACTCTACCCTGCACTATGGCAACCTGGGTTCGAGTCCAGCTGTGGGCGGTGAAGAAGTTGAAACTACAGTCTAGCACAATTGA